GAACGATTTAGGGTATGGCTTTATGCAATTGGCGGTGATTTACTAGACCTCGAAAATATGCACATATTCAACTTCCAAGTATCGCCATTGTCACATTTTGAAGAAAAGTTTCAATGCAGAAATAACAGAATCAGTAACATTGCTGTGCCTACTTTGAATATACCAGGTTTGTCTTTATAGATTATAGAATAAGTAAACATATTATAGAATGAATTAGGAACATAATATAATATGGATTATGTATATAGTTTAATTATAAAATATGCCTAATTAAGTAGTTATCTAACTAGTAGTAATTTTACCATGATTCATTCATTAATCTAAGTAGAATATTATTACATACTGTTTACTACCGGGCTTAAAAGGATAATGCATGTAATGATTACGGCTGACAGAAGGATGACGCTTTGATGAACAACCATTAAGTCTAGTTTTCATAAATATTAAGCTTGCAAAAGTGTTATCACCCCTCTTTTATACTTTTGTAAAAATAAATTGTTATATAATATTATACAGTGAAAATTACTTTTTATAAGTCATCACAGATACTGGTACTGTTTTTTACTATCATATATAAATAATTTCAAAGTTAATCCTATTATTTTCTTTTAGCTACATCATCAAATAAATCAGCAGTTAGGAGAAGAAAACCCATGCAATAAATTTTGAACCTGGCAAAATTGTCAACACCTACAGGTACCTACTGATATTTTTCAATAAGTCTGCTATACATACTTATAATCATAATAATTAGAACATAGTATGTGACCTTTTCAAGGGGACTAATATTTTAATACTTCCACCATTGTTTATTTATGAGAATGTCATAGATATACATATGGAAAAATGTAAATTTATTATTAAAAAAAGGAAGAAGTTTGCTGTAGAAAGGGTTGAGATGATACCATAGAAGTTCCTAAATTAGGATTGACTTAAAAAGTCCATAAAATTAAATAATAAGATCTCTATTAATAATTGAACATAAGATTTATAAAACTTATGAAGGAAATTTTGTTAAATAACTAATAAAAATTAAGTAAACCCAAAACAAAAAAAGAGCTGATGATCTTCAAATGGCTGAATAGATTTTCTTGAATCATAACTTAGAACACTCCTGATCTAGTCACCTTTCAACAAAAAAAGCTAAATAATAGTCCATCTATGTGGCCACTATGATGCTTCAGACAGACGCACAGATACATATGTTCAGTTTATAACACCCCTACATTTGCCTTGGGGGTTATAAAGCCTAAAGTAGATGGATATATTGAGGGAAGTTTATGGGAATAGCTCTTATTCAGCATAAACAAGTTCCCTGGCTATTAATATGTTGTTAAAGATAGACATTTTATAATGTATTGATTTTAAGTTGTAGATTTGCGAATCACTGTAGATTTTTATGTTCATAAGAGATTTTAACTAGCCAACATTTTGATTTGACTTTAAAAATATATTTTCTTAATCAAACTTGCTCCTGTCAATAAGGGGAGTTGTGTTGTTCTGTCTATGACTTTAATTAGACTACTCTTTTTCAGCTTTTTCTAAACTTGACACTTGACAATATATATATATATATATATATATATATATATATATATATATATATATATATATACTGTCGAGGGGGGTTACACTATACCTCCCACTGGCAATAACTATAGAAAAATAATTTGTTTTTTATACTTATATTTCCCTCATTAACAATACATTAAAACTCATCCTGCATTTAATTACATCCTAAAATTCTTAATAAATTAATTGGATATTAGGTTTTCCAAACTCTGAGCTGATCAGACTGATTATATGAGGATATGCTAGCCTCCGAAAATTTTATTTACCATGTCACTCGCACCTGCAGACTATCAATACTTTTCATTTATAATTATGTATTCTGTAATTTAGCCATAAATTTACTCACATCTATAGTATTTGATACATCATATTCTAATATCAGCATAACAAAATTTAGATAAATTAATTGTATATGTGTAATATTATGTTTCTAAATCTTAAGTTTATTATATACAAAGAAATTATTTTCATAATCTACACAAATCACTTATGTAGATATTGATACTCTACAAAAAAGAATTACATTTAATGTTAAGATATACTGAAAAAAGAAGTCAATGTAAAGCAATGTAATCATTATTCCATCAAAAATATTACTTGTAAAAAAACCGAGTTGCAACTCAGTTCTTCTACTGTAAAAAGTTGTGAGATCCATGTAATACCAAGTCGGTTAATTTATTCAATCCCTACTTAAGGGTCCTTCTGATTTAAGTTATTATGAAATTAGCTAACCTAACAACATTTTATAGTGACCATACCAATGTTAAAAATCCTTTATGTTTTAAATATATGGAGTGATTTGGCCATTGCATGAAAACACAATGTATCTCACAAGTAATACATATTATATTAAATTAGATTGCTTAATGCGAACACTGATTCATTAACTGCAAATGTAACTTTGAAATGCTTTATATTTATTTGAGATTACAAAGTTATTTATGCAGTTGGTGTATCCAGAAAACGACCGAAATTTAAAAATATTTTAGTTTTTCCTTGATTTATACACTAAACTCTAATTGTGTTCTAAATTTTAAGCTTCTAAATCTGCTAGAAGTGCCTTAGAGTTTTGATGATCGGTCAGTCAGTGAGTGACAAAATTAAGAAATTTTGACTAGTTATAATTCTTAAACTACTGGTTCAAATTTAATGAAATTCGAAATATACCATAATTATACAATGCCTACTCGGTTACTGAAAATTTAGGCTTCTAGTTTTATCCAATACGAAGTCATAGGTGTCGAAAATGGCCTAAATTGCTTCGAGAAAAATATGGTATGGCCGTGCCGCTTAATATTATAGATAATTAACATTCCAACAGAGATTCAAAAACAAATTGCAATCCCAGCAGCATGTTCCTCAAAAAGTATGTAATATTAAATATTTAAGAAAAGGGCATATTTATATGCGCATTTAATTTTCCTTTTCATCATATCCAGTATTTGTGTCAATTACAGTAAATTATAGTAAATTTTTTTTTTATTTAACAGTTTAATAATTATGCAGACCGTGACAGTGCACTTGCATTGTCGCAGTGCATTGTCTGGCAGGTTTGCCATGTAATGTTGGAAAAGATGTTAATGTGAGGAAACATACTCTAAACTTAACACTATATTGTCGTGGGAGCTACACCTCAATCCACTGAGAAACACCCATTTCTCATAACCTCCAGTGATATATTTATTTTAGTTATTTCTTTAAATCTTTCCTTTTCTTCTTTTGATATTGATTTATGAATTTCTTTTCAGGTAATTACTCTGAATGTTCGGTACATCGATTATACACAAAAATGGAAAAATACTTCTCACAAAGAAAATGTTGGTTAGTATGGCTTATGATGCCATTTTTTAACAGTTTTCATTTATTGAACATAAAATATAAACTTTTTTATAATGCAAAAATTTTTGAATTGCTCTGTATATATTTAATGTGTTTCTTTAACTGTAATTATAATTCTATGTTTTTAATAAAGTTCTTATAACGTATATGTGGTAGAGAGACACGCTGCTTAGTGTGGGTGAGTTTTGTATGGTGTTTAAGTTTTACTGGAAATGAGGTATTCTATCGTAGTCTTCAGAGGTGACAATGCATCTGCATTTTAATTTTTAATTGAATTTAAATTTGGATATCTATAGGTACAGCATCAAATTACCATCAGTTTGATTGTGTGCTCATTTGTCACAAGCGCCTGTGTAAAATCATGGCTAAAACTATTACAATAATATCTACATTCTTATTTTTATTTTATTAATATTAATTAATTAATATTTAATATAATATTATAAAGAGGAAAAATTTGTATGTTTGAATTGAATAGGCTCCAAAACTACTGGACCGATTTGAAAATTTCTTTCACCATTAGAATCCTATATTATATCCTATATATTCAAATAGTTAGGGATCCGTATGAAAACATCGTTAATTTAAACCACGGCGTGAAAAAAAACCCAAAAAAATTCTTATATCGCATAAGCTGCGGAAACCATTATATAACATAGAAAATAAGGGCTACATGATTAAAGTACTCATTATTACCTACAAAAAAGTCCGCGTAAGAAATATATCTTAACTATCATAATTAAGTCCCAATAGTAGCTTTTGTGTTCTAAAATTTAATTAGACCACCGGTCGACACAAAAGTCGCTTATAGTCGTATCGTAGTATTAATTCTTATTCAAATAAATAGTTTTATCATAATGAAAGAGTTAAGAAATAATTTGTAAGTACCTCTTTTTACTTTATTCATCCATATTTTGGCGGTAAAGTTGTAAATTTTAATAAACATAAACTTTGAGCAAAAAAAATCGATTAAAGATAAGAAATGTTCATATTTTCTGGCAGATTGCGCAAAAACTATAAATGATATCGCTTTCGTATGCATAAAAGGTTGATAGAAAATTCATCAAGGATCATTTCGTACCTCCACACTTCATGTACCATGTACAGTTATCCTTAAAACTGAAAAAAACCCGTTTTTGGGCACTTTCTTGGGCGTTCATCCGGGAGGGGGAGAGAGAGAGAGTGGATAAAATTTAACTTTGCTCTATAACGTACATATGCCGATAATTTTTACATTAATTTTGCCAATTTTTTAGCTAAAATGATTGAACTAAATGAGCGAGGTGTATAAAATATTGTAAAACAGAAATTTTTCTATTTGTTCCAACTAATCTCCGAAATGGCTAAACCAACTTTGTTAGGACTTTCGCTGGCAGATAGTTGATGTTATTAGGAGTAACTTAGTTTTATTTTTATTTTAGAAAAAGAATTGCGGTCAGTCGCAAAAAAATTCTAATCGTAATAAATTTCACGCGAACGAAGTCGCGGGGAACAGCTAAAGCTAAAGGTAAAGTAGTACAGGAATAATTATAGTAGTGAAGCACGTTGCTGAAAAAAAATTAACTAATGTTTCAGATCCAGTTACTTCAATGCAAGATCCTGTGATATCAACTAATCTTGTAGTTATAAAGAAACGGGCTAAAATGTTTTTAGGTATGTTTTATTTTCATTGAGAGATGATAAGTATTTATATTTAATATTTGATAATATGGTATATATATCATATTTGTTCTGACATAGACAATATTTATATGTATCATTCATTGACTTATTTGTTACTAGCGTAAGGATCGGTCCGACCGCGCAACTAAATCGCACCAGTGCGCTGGCCCTAAAATGATAGTTTAGGACCAACGTGACTCGGTCTCGGTCTCTCTCTCGGTCTAACTCGGTCGACAAGATTTGCTTGTCATAAATAAGCCTAGTTGCGTGGTAAAAGTATGCAAAAATTAATATACAAAGATTATAAAAGGAACATGGGATATCGTACCATCGGAAAGTAAACTTATATCAATTTTGTTACAATTAAATTATTATATAAACACATTTTAGCAACTTTTATTTTATAGTTAGTCAGTTTAGTTACATTACCAATATTACGCCGGGGTCGGATTCAGACCCTCAAATATTTTGTACAGGGAAAATAAGTAACTAGTGTTTCTATACGTTTTGATTTTTGGTTTTATTATTATTTCTGTTTTATTTTTGTCTTAAGATCTTAGTGTGAGTTAAAGTTTGAATATTGGTACCTAATATGTTTTATATTCAATAAGGGTAAAACAAAAGAGCACAAAAGAAACGATACCTACATAATTGAAACTGAACTTCGTATTCATAAAATATTTTGAAATTCTGTTTTCATTTCAACACACAAACTGAGAGAAGCTGCTACCGTCATCAAGCTTCTGGTCAAAGTGGATAGGATAAGACTTATAAACAATGTTTACACATGTGCGATGACGAATTACTATTCGCCTAGTATTACTAAGATTCTACATATGCACATTATGGAATAATGGTATAAATACGATAATTATACTGCGAAATCCGACCCTGGTTACGTCGTGTTATGACGTTTGTATTATGACAGATGCGCTACTTTTTCTTGTATGAAAAAGTTATGAGTAACATTAGTAGATGGGCGTATCCTTCCTTTTGACGTCGTTGGTATCATTACGTTAACCTAATGGCAGGGTGCGGGCCGCGAACTCAAAATGTCGTGAAATCGAATCCGCCATTTGACTACTCTCGTGAACCATTCCTAGCACAAGCATTTTAAGCTGGTGGTGAAGGGGAATATTAGTAATGATAATAGCATTGTTAGTATTTTATCAGCCCTTTTTTACGTGGTAGAGCCATGCTGCAATTGTATTAGTAGTATAGTTGTAGCACGAATGGGTTGGCTCGATCGGGGAAGAACCACGCTCTCACAAAATACCACCGTATAATAGTAGCTTAATGCTACTGTTTCGTAACGGTGAGTGTAGAGAGCCGGACCCTTTTTACTGGAAACGAGGCATTTCACCTTAGTCCTCACGGGTGAGAACGCGTCTGCATTTTGATTCGAAATCGAGGATAGATGTAGATGTCTCTGGGTGCTCGTTTGTCACCCTATTCTATAAAAAAGCCCTTTCTATTTTGATTATTGATGCACCACCTCTTATATGTTTATCTTTCTTTAGCTTAATAGTTGACTGATAGACTGCCCTATGGCATTAAGTACGCCCTATGAACTATTTTGTGTATGAACGTAAAATAACAAATTTAAAATTATTAGATTCAGGAAAGTCAATTCGCAACCACTAATAAATACTTAATTGGGTGTTGCAATAATTGTTTCTTTTTTCCTTTCTTAAACAAAATTGGTTGATAATTTTTTTAATTTCTAATTTTAAGGTGGAACATTGGCAGACAAGAAAAAGAAAAAGGGTATCCTTCTAGAAGAGTAAGATGCTTAATGGCAGTTTTAAAAAAAAAGATGCCAAAACTCTACTTGGACCTGCAACAGCTCACTCCATACATCACAAAACACGGATGGATGCCAAAAAAGTTTTTGCGTCTATGATGTTTATATCTTCCACTGATAGAATCTATTCCAACTGTTAACGATTGGGTGTGGACACATAAGGGATAGAAGTTTTATTAAAAAAATTGAAATTGATTTTCATCAGTTTGGTTGCGTCATCTAAATTAGGACCCACTGAAAAATTTCTTTGGATCGGGTAGACGTCATGGATGTCGCAATATTAATCCAACTTGTGACCAATATGAGTCAGCCTTTGCTACGCTTTTGATCAATAATTTAAGTAGTGTCCACACTCATGGTAAAAACTGCGAGCTAGATTATTGTAATGCTGTGCACACTCTCATTGTTAATAAAAACTTAGAGGCATCGTCAACCTGCACATGATTTCACGAACATTTTAGAAATAAACCTCACGCCAATTACAATGAAACTAAATATAAACATTGTGTTAACTGTAAATTTCCAATGTCGTTATTTTAACAGATTCAAGGAGTGCGCTTCAACATCTTACTCGGTGTACTTCGGTTTTTCGAGGCTTACCAGTAGCACATGCGATTTTAAACCTTCTAGTTAAGTTACAGGCTGACTCCAGAATAGTATATTTACCATGGATACTTTCGCACATTGGCTTAGAGGGTATTGAAAAAGCTGATATTTTAGCCAAACAGGTACTGACGTTAATATTACCCCTGCATTTCAAATGTATATACCTTTATTAAAAAAATATTGTTATGACCTCTGGAAGGAATATTTTGACGAAAGAGCAAAAGAGAAGGGTATATGGTAAGGTACGATCCAGCCGTACCCAATGCGCTCAACCTGGATAGATAACCGAGTATTGTGTAGACGCGATACTAATAGCATTAAGACTCAGATCTGGGCACATTCCATGCAATAAATTTTTATACTTGATGCGAAAAACTACCTCACCGAATTGTTCAACTTGTAATGTTTTCGAAGATGTTTATCACATTCTGATAGAATGTCCCCAGAACTCCATGGAAAGAAAAATTGTATTTTACATTTGATTGGCAGTATTAATAGTATTTTATCAGACCCGTTATCAGATGATGCCAAAAAACTTTGTGTTAGTAAATAAGAGATTAAGTAATTAATAAGTTTTTTTGTTAGTATTTATCCTATTAAAGAATTTTGTTGTACCAGGGCGTCATAATCGCTTCAGCGACAAAGCCCTTTTTCTAAGAATAAAAAGAAAACTGTAAATATGACCTATTTTCTGAAGATGAAATAGAATACATAAAATACAGAGAATATGCAGCTGATGGCTTTTGGCTTTTTACTCCTTGAAATGATTTGATTCAATCAATTTCGGATATGCAGGATATAATCAATCATATTTCAAAGGACAATTTTGAAAATGATCAGTTAAAAGAAATTATAAAAACAAGCATATCATATACTTTAATTGATTTTGATTTTATGACATGTAATCCGCATAAAAATAAATTAGTTGATTATTTGAATAATATTGTGATGCGTTGTCTGATTTTTAATAGTTGTAAAAATATTAATAGAATGTTGACTGGGAGAAAAGAAGTAGATGATGATGAGAACTATTTCCAAATTAAAGCCAAAAAGTTAACAAGTAAACTTTTTAGAAGAAATAATTACTCTTGTTGCTACCAAAATGATTTAATAATATTTAATAACTGTTAAAAAAATTTTCAAAAAAAAACATTTAAAAAAATTAAATTTAATTGAAAAAAAATAATTTACAAATTTTATGTGGTTTTATTTCTTCTAACTCATACGAGTATCGATAACGCGGGGTCTTTGACAATCCTCTTACTCCTCGGCCAATTCAGAGAGAATAAAACCACATAAAATTTGCAAACTATTTTTTTCATTAAAATTAATTGTTTTAATGCGTTTTTTTGAAGAAAAAAATTTATTTCTATACGCTTGGATACTGATTCTGACAACGCACTTAACGGGAATCACATGGTTTTTGTTACATGTTGTATATTCGTGCGTTCTAAACTAATTTATCAATAATATGTAATAATAAATACGCTTAAATTGAACCACCAAATTATAAAAGTAAGATTAATGAATCTTATTTTTTTTATAAAAATGTATTTTTATAATTAGCAGATATGTAGTTATTAAATAGGTTAGATAATATACTCTATGAGTCTATAGAATGTATTATTACAATATTTAACAAATAATTTATTTTTAAACACAAAGTCTATTGCTAAAGATCGGTGATACCATAGAATACTATAATACACAATAGAATGGCTGTCAACTTTATTTTGTACGAGGAAGGGCGTCACCAAACCCGATTCGCTGTGTTGACAGACTGAATAAATGTACACATTTTAGACTTTTGATTAATGTTCAAGATCATCATTAAAAAAATCGTTTAAATTTTAATACATATATATAAAAATATATAAAAAAAAAAATGTAAATAGGATGCAATTTGGCATTTTCTAAATAATCTGCATACGAAATTTGGAAACGACTAACGTTAAAACACATCTCGTGTGGACATTTATACGTGTGATTTGACGTGTTAGTGACATTTTAGTGGCTACGCAAGCTCCGCCCACTCCCCCCGTTATATTATGTATGTATTATAGTATTCTATGGGTGATACTATGGGAATATATGCCACAGTATATCAGGTGGGTTGGCAACGGCAGCGGTTTTTTTTCTGAAGAGGCTGCTACGCATCTCATGTTTTAGTTTATCTCTGTCGCTTCTTACGACACCCACAGGATGACATTAGGTAGTGAATTCTCTTACGCCGTCATTACACTATAGGGTACAATACAGCACATAATTTTTTGTATTACATATTTTATTTAAAAGTGTTAGAAATAATGCAAGGAAGCATAATTTATTTTGAGCTTTAAATTATTTGATATAAGTTATTATGTAATGTAAGTTTAAGACGTTTTCATTGCTAACATACTGCTTTAATATTTGTTTTCAAATATTCATTATTATATAAGTATTATTGCTTGAATATTTGTTTTTGTCATTATTCGATTCGATCTTAACCCTCCGTGCACCAGGGGGGGTTTAGTAAACCCCAGCCCTTGAAATATCCCAATAACTTTAAAACTGTGAACCCGCCACCGCTTGAATTACGCTACACGCTCTTAAAGTGCATGTGGGTGTCACACACCCCACCTTGTACGGCTCGTTGACAAAAAAAGTAAGCATTCTATTTGATTTTTTTTTTGCCTTTATGTGCTTAATTTATGTATGTTCAGCATTTTAAATGGATTCTTATTTATTACAAATTTATAGTTACATGAAAAATTACCCACGTGAAAGATGATGATATTTTAAAAGCACTTTTGGACGAAGGAGATGACTTCGAAGTAGAATCCGGGAGTTCAGAACCGGGCTCTGAAGTTGAATCAGAACACTTGAGTGTTAGTAGTGATATAAACAGCGAAGTGGATGCCGAAATTCTTTCTTCCGAGTTTGAGAGCGACGACGAAGTACCCCTATCAGAGGTTCGCGCGTCGAGACAAAGTTATTATACTGGCAAAGATAAGACAACAAAGTGGCAAAAAGAACCATTCAGAAGCAATGTTCGTAGTAGAGCAGAAAATATTATTACTCATTTGCCTGGTGTGAAAACAGCTGCAAGGGTTAAGTTGTCACCTCTTGAGTGTTTTGAACTATTTATTTCCGATGCTATGACAGATGAAATCGTGAATTGCACTAATGAGAAAATACTCTCCCGACCAACTGGTGATCCTCAACAGTCACAAACTACAAAGGAGGAAATAAAAGCCCTTTACGGTTTACTTTTCCTATCAGGTTTGGCTCGTTCTGGACGTCATATTACAATTGATTTATGGGCTACTGATGGGACAGGATTGGATATTTTTAGAGACACTATGAGTAAATATTTTTACTTTCTTACTGAATAATTTGAGGTTTGATAGCGCGGCAACACGAAACGAGAGATTGAAGACTGATAAACTAGCTCCAATAAGAAATCTTTTTGAAAACTTTAAAAAAAAACAGTCAAGATGTTTACATTCCGTTCGAAAACCTAACATTAGATGAAGAATTGGTTGCTTTTACAGGTCTATGTGGATTCCGCCAGTATATTCCGTCAAAAACCAGCAAAGTACGGAATAAAAATATATTCTTTAGTTGACAATAAAATATATTATACTTTGAATATGGAAATATACTGTGGAAAGCAGCTCGAAAATAGCCCTTTTTCTATCAGCAACAAGCCTTACCATGCGGTTGATCGTCTAGTCCAATGTGTATCTCTGTCTTCTCGGAACATTACAATGGATAATTTCATCACTACCTATGAAAGCACAGAAAATTTGCTCCAAAACCATAAGCTCACTGTTGTCGGAACTTTGCGCGCCAATAAGACGTGTATTCCTCCAGTTTTCAAGAAACATCGTGAAGTAAATACATCTCTATTTGGATTTCAAAAGAATATAACGATTTTATCCTATGTACCAAAGCCACGTAAGATGGTATATCTGATGTCTTCACTGCACCATGATCAAGAAATAGATTCGGAAACCGGAAGTCAACAAAAACCTGCAATGATAACGTTTTATAATAAGACCAAAAGTGGCGTAGATGTGGTGGATAAATTATGTCGAATTTACGACGTTCCCAGAAATTCTAAACGATGGCCGCTAACTATATTTTTCGCGCTGCTAAACCACGGAGGTATAAATGGAATGATTATCCATATGTTCAACAATGGCATTGAAAGAAATAAAAACAATCTGAGAAGTAAATTCATCCGGGAATTGGGTATATCTTTGATAAAAGGCCACCTTAACACCAGAAGGCAAAACCAAAAGCTGCCAAGAGACCTTCGTAACAGAATTGCTTAGTATTTTCCTGTAATTTTTAAATTTTCAGGTAGGTACCTGAAAATTTGCCGGAACCTCCAGTCAAAAGGTCCAATACACAAAGAAGATTTTCAAGTTGCCCCAGGGACAAAGATCGTAAAACAAAATATACGTGTAAAAAATGTTATGTACTAATATGTATGGAGCACACTGATTTTTTTTTATCAAGACTGTGGTCGCTTGGATGACAATGATCTCAATTAAAATGTACCTCTTTGTGTTCAATTTATGTTAAATTATAAGGAAATATACTGTAGTTTGTTAATTAAACATGATTCTAATAATTAAACGTGCCATTTAAAATTAGTATATAAGAAAGTAACTGTTATGATAAGTGAATCACAGAAGTTGTGTTTTTTTTGTTCTTTTATAAAAATAATTTTTTTATTACATACTTTTTAACCGGTCTTTAACTTAAACCTAATCATTACAATGTGTTTATAAATACGTGATAATAAAATTCACGAGACTTAAAAAATGTGTCAATTTTACCATTTTTTAATTTGGGGTTTGTCACACCCCACCTAGTATAGGACGAGACTTTTGGTCACCTGGTGCACAGAGGGTTAATGAAGCAATATGCAGAATTGCTTATTATCGTTTCCATTTAACCTTAAAAGATTTACAAAAACAAATATTCAAGATTAGATTCAATTTTAATTTGAGATGGGCCGAATATGGAAGAAAAGTTCGGTAAAACCTTTACCGAACCGAATATTCGGCCGAACGTTATTCAACGGGATCACCTCGGTACCTAACCAATTTATGTCGAAACTTGTTTCCATAAAGCGCGCGAGATTATATTGAAAAACTGAAGACCAAAGTAAAGTGAAATGTACTAATGTAATGTAATGTTTCTTTGTTTGATTCCTAAAACATTTTACCTTTTTACCAAACTTTCTATTTGCTATAATTGGAAATAAATCTAAAATACCTCAAAAACATAACATTTCAAGTAGATTTAACCCATAAATAAATATACTTTCAACAGTAAAATTATGAAAGACATGACATTACTCAATTCGTACAATTTAATACAGTGGACATTTTGATTACCACTTAAACGAATATTCGGCGATTTAGCCAAATATTCGGCCGAGTACGAATATTTGGTAAAGCTGCCGAATACCGAATATGAAACAAATATTGGGCCCATCTCTAAATTTAATGGAGCAATAATGCAGAATTGCTTAATTAGCAATTGATTTCAAATTTATTTCAATTCCAAACGATCTCAATTTTATTCTCGACGTATTTTAAATACATATTATAATTGAATAAGTTGATTGCAGATTTACATTATTTAATTTTTAAAATTTTGATCTCATCTTTGTTTCAGGCTGTTCATTAATTTCTATGTTTAAGTTGAATAAATGTACTGATATTTATTATTTTAGTAACTATTATTGTATTTGTGTGCGGTTTTTAAAATAAATCCCGTAAATATAATGTTAGTTTTATTTATTTTGATTTTAATTATTAATATCTGTGATGAGAACTAGTATATATACGTAGGCGCTATATATACGGCGGCTTATGTATATATAAGCTTATGTTTATAGATATTACAATAAAGTTGCTAACTAGGGATACGAGATGGCGCTAGTTACGCATTGCCATTTTATAGGTCGTAGATTGGTCTCTATTTCAGTTTATGTCGCCTCTACACGTTGGCCAACACAGTGGCGAATGTAGTGGCCGAGAGTTGGTGACGGCGTCTACACGTTGGAAGTTCGTTCAGTTTACTTCGGTTCGGCCCAATGTGCGGACGAATTTATAAGCACCGTGGCGCAGTGGCTCAGCAATGAGTGGTTGCACCGGGCGCCGCGGGTTTGATCCCGCACGGAACAAGTATTTGTATGTCCTAAAAATAATTATTTCGGGTCTGGATGTGTGTCCTTGTGCAATTTATGTTTGTAAACTGCCTCCGCGATACGTGAGAAAATCCTATTGTGGGGTTAACGTTTTTATAAAAGAATTATAAAATAATAGTGGATATTAATGGGTTTGTAAATAGATATACGATATACGATTAGCTTTATTTATTCTTTACATGCATCATAAACTGGAATAAATACCATTAATAAGAACTTAACTTATTTTAAAGTTAAAGGAGTTACAAGCGATTAGTCTATGTTTTAAAATGGGGGTTTTGATTTTAAAGTTTAGCAAAATATGTAGGTGCATTTCTATCAGACATTTGATGTATATAAAAACACCTTATAATTTATTTGGTAATTTAATTATTTTTTGAGAAAGGCAAAAACAATAGAAATAAAAATATAATTAACACTGACTTAATAATAAGTACTAATTATAACTTAGAACATAAATGAAAAACTCATGACGAGCAAAGTGGCTCAGGACCATGCTTTGCGGCAGTCTGTGGAGGAGGATGTTCAGTAGTGGACTTGTGAAGAGCTGTAATGATGATGATGATTCGAAAACTTGCACGATTAAATTATAAGAAATCGACGCTTTTTTATATAGGATAGGGTGAAAAACGAGCACACAGTTCACCTGATGGTAAGTGGTTGCTGTGGCCCACAGACATCTACACCTATCCTCGATTACGAATCAAAATGCAGATGCAGTGTCACCCGTGAGGACTAAGAAGAAATGCCTCGTTTCCTTTAAAAAGTGTCTCTGGTTCTCTACACTCACTATACGAAACACAGCATCATTAAGCTACTATTTTACATTGATATTCTGTGAGAGCGTGGTCCTTCCCCGGTCGAACCGACCCATTCGTGCTACAACTATACTTCTAATATAACTGCATGGTTCTACCACGTATAAACGACGTGCTTCATTTTTTTTTTCATTTTAAAATTGTTCTTGTAATAATCTGATTGCAAATAAATGGTCATTATTTTTTTTATAAATAGCTTATCGATTAAAACAAATATTTAAAAATAATTAAATCGCGCTAATTAAAGTAGTAGGAATGTTTAAAGTGGAAATTGGCACTAAAAGGCTGTTAATTGGGTCATCCACCCTACAAAGCGTGAATATAAAATTTTAATCAGATGCGTGTAATCACTCTGGGAGCTTGTAGCAAACTAAACTCGCGGCCAACGTGTGGACGCGGCGACCAAACTCTGCCAACAATACTTTGATCTTTTGTAAAAAACCGACACCACACGGATCTCGCGCCAACTTGCGGGCCATCGTTCCAATACATACCAATGAAGCCCAAACATCCCGTCTACACGTTGGCCAATGCTATTGGCCACTACATTCGCCACTGTGTTGGCCAACGTGTAGAGGCACCGTTATACAAAGGTACTCTGTGATACTAACATAGAGTAGAGTAATATATACAGAAATAGAGAGCCATCTCCTAGGATTTTTTGTCGCCCAATCCCAATATGAATAGTGTCGCCGTCTGGTATCATATCCCTTAAACTAATCTCAATATCATGTTGACTATAGATAGCTATATGTAGTTATGTACCTATATACAGCTATCTATACTATAAGGGGTTATATTTACATTTTAAGGGATTAGGGTTCAATTAAAGACGTTCAATTAAAGATTTCAGTAATATTAATATTTATTTTTGTTATATATATTTACATATACGATGTAAAAGCGTATATTCCGCAAAATACAACAACAAACCAAATTAAATATGTATATAAATAAGTCTACTTCTTAACATTTTCTAATCGTAATGCAGAGTAGTAACACAACCAAATAAAATATTAATAATATTATTCTTGATAATCTTAAAAAAAAATTTTAAGTCTCTCCCTTGCATAACAAATAAAAACTACACGCATCTACATTTTTAAAAGACAAATAGAACAATACGTGTGCCGATTAATCTTTTGCTAGCTAGCTAAGCGGCCAAAGTACTAATCGGCCCAACTCTATAAATAACATAAGCACTGCTTTATAGTTAGTTCACTTAGTATGCAAAGTTTCATGGTCTTATTTAAAGTATTTTTTGAATAACAGCGGTTTATTGTTCAGTTTGCAGGTAACTTTGTATTTTTTTCTATCGAGAAAATTTTACGGAATAGTGTTTTCGTCTAACATAGTCCTTAACATTAATCCTCAACCTCAACTTTACCGTATATTTATTTCAAAATTAATGCATGCTGCAATATTTTCGGAATAACGGAGGATCTTTTGCTAAGCCATTAGAGGTTATATTTCCCCTTATATACGGAAGATGGAAGTGAAAGTGTACGTAAAAAATGTATCTTTAAGTTGCTGTAGGCACACATACGATATGTATAATGACAATTTTAATTAATCCTTTCCATATCTAAAGGAAAGGAATTCAAAAATAGCTCTTATGAGCACCGTGTAATGTAATTTAAAGTATAAGCTCTTTCGAGCCTATAACTTTCTACTTAACCTAACCATACCGCGACGTAATAACGAAGTAGCGCCATCTAGTTGAATACTTGTCAATTATTTTTTAGGTCTATAGGTTTCACTGCACTTATGAGCGGGCAGGTGATTGACAAGTTTTAGTTCATCGATATAATATATGACAGAATATAACAAAGAGGAAGTAGCAAAACGTTTAATTTGTACCAGAATCATCGTTGCCAAACTTACTACTACTACAGAATAAATAATCGTACAAGAACTACTACTAACAAAATAACTTTACCATATAACACCGACACTTAAGAATAATGTGTAGGTGTATATAAATTACCTCTTTACTGATGCGCTCGTAAAGAATAAAAAATGGTCGCAGTTCTAATTATTTATAGAATACCAGAACTTTCTCTAAAATCAGTTATGAATGACTTGTTTAATGTCGAGTGTTTTTTCATACTAATTTCAATTAAAACATCCAAACCTAATTATTACAGCTACTATATTATATAGTTACATTAAAGTAGAAATTCATCTTCGTGTTTTGAACAATGTTGTAGCATAGACGCTTTTTATTTTCAGCACTTTTTTATAATGTTTATATATTTATATATTTTATTTTTGGGATATTTATATAGTATAACATTGTAATTAATCTCTACACTTTTCTAAAAAAAAAATAACTTTTCCCGCTTTAAAATCTCTACTTATTAGTTTTTAAAGTTTTTCTGGACTTTCTTTAACATATAATGTCAAAGATTATAGAAATTGTCGATTTAATAGTAGTTTACAA